TTGCATTCCAACGCATTTTCAGCAGGAAATGCTTTTTCTAGTTTTCTACTATTATGGTATCAATGGCACAATTAACAAGCTAACTTGCTAACTAGCAGACAGCTGTATGGTAAAAAGGCCTCTGCTGGAGCATTAGTAACACTTTAGGCTGAGAGTGGTAATGCAGGAAGGGAGACGACATGAGCCTTTCAAATTTTTTACTTTATCTTTACATTTGTCAATGTCAATTTTATTTTTATAGCAGTTTTAGAGGCCAATGGCCAGCCAAAGTGCTTTACAGGATAACAATAATCAGGAGCAATAAACAATATGAGCAAAAGTAAAACAACAAACAAGCAAAACAGTAAAAGGCAAACAAATAAAAGATCCAATACAGGTGACTTAACTCAGCCAAAGGCCAAGGTAAACAAGTGGGTCTTAAGGCGTGTTTTAAAGGTAGAAAGCAGAGCAGGTCAGCTGAGAAGCAGTTAAATGTTGAAGAAAGTTATCATAAAATGACAACCATTTTTTTTGCGGAGGATTGTGATATCATGATCAAGATGGCGCCGACGATGGCTGCCACGTTGCTTCGGTGCGCTTCGGTTTTTGTTGGTTTTGTTGTTAATGATGTTTCCTGTTGCGATTCCCGGAGCTCTTTCACCAGAGATGAGCTCTTGAACATCCGAGGAACAACTCCAGCGGAGTTACTTCCAACTTTTCCTGCTTCCGTGGAATTACTGGACATTCTAGTCAAAGGTGCGCTCACCTTTCGTCACGCGGTGAGACGCCGTAGGAGAGGAAAACGGGCCGGCTCGTTGGTGAGACTCCGCAAGCGTAGTTCTCACACTCCGCTGCCGGGCATCTTTCTCTCCAACGTGCGCTCACTGTGCAACAAACTGGACGAAATTCAGCTGCTGGTGAGGAGAGACAGAGACTTTTCTACATTCTCCGTTTTGTGCTTCACGGAGACGTGGCTCTGCGGATCGATAACGGACTCCGTGCTCCAGCTGGCGGGCTTCCAGCTGCTCAGAGCGGAATGCGACACGGCAAGACAAAGGGTGGAGGAATCTGCTTCTTCAACAGCAGCAGGTGCAACGACGTAACGGTGATGCTAAAACACTGTTCTCCTGATCTGGAAACTTTCTTCATCAACTGCAAAACATTTTATTCCCCTTGTGAGTTCGCTTCATTCATCCTGGTCAGTGTTTACATGCCGCCGGCGGGCAACGTGCACGAGGCACAGCGGACACTTGCCGACCAGATACGGCGTGTGGAGTGGACCAACCCGGACTCTTTAGTTATTGTCCTCGGGGACTTTAACAAAGGAAATCTCAGCCATGAACTTCCTAAATACAGACAGTTTATTAAATGCCCCACCAGAGAGGAGAACACGCTGGATCACTGTTACACCACAGTAAAGCAGGGCTTATCACGCCGTCCCTCGTGCTGCACTGGGACACTCTGACCACGTCATGGTCCATCTGATTCCTGCATACAGGCAAAAACTAAAGCTCTGCAAACCTGTGGTGAGGGAATTCAAGAACCAGACCAGTGAGGCGCTGGAGGATCTTCGTGCGTGCTTTGACTGCACAGACTGGGATGGTGTCAGGACTGCTACTAACAGTCTGGATGAGTTCACAGAGGCTGTAACTTCCTACATCGGCTTCTGTGAGGACAGCTGTGTACCATCATGCACCAGGGTGAGTTTAACAACGACACACCCTGGTTCACAGCAGAACTCAGAACACTGCGTCTGCCGAAGGATCAGGAGTGGGGACAAGAGTGGGGACAAAGACTAGAGTCAAAATACAAGTTTAGCAAGGCGGTGAGAGATGACTGTACTCTGAGAAACTCCAACAACAGTTCTCAGCAAGTGACTCCGCTTCGGTTTGGAGAGGCCTCAAACACCTCACTAACTACAAGCCAAAAAAAACCCACTCCATGAATGACCTCCGCCTGGCAGACGAGCTGAATGTGTTCTACTGCAGATTCGATAGATAATGTCCGAATCCCATCCCCCCACAGCTCCACCAGCCTGCTGCAGTCCCCCACCCCCATCAGGTGCTCACGCCTCTACATCTATATCACCTTCCCCTCCCCCACCAACAATGACCCTCTCTATTCTGGAGAGAGACGTTAACCGGCTCTATAAAAGACAAAACCCCCGTAAGGCAGCCCGGACTCCGTCTCCCCTCACATCCTGAAGCATTGTGCTGACCAGCTATCTCCGGTGTTCACTGACATCTTCAACACCTCCCTGGAGACATGCCACGTACCAGCCTGCAAGTGGATCACAGACTTCCTGTCTGACAGGAAGCAGCACGTGAAGCTGGGGAAACATGTCTCAGCCTCTCGGACCATCAGCAATATCGTAGCCGACCCCTCTCACCTCTGACAAAACTTGTTTGTGCCCCTTCCATCTGGCAGGATGTTCATCAGGACTAAGACCTCCCGCCACACGAACAGTTTCTTCCGGTCGGCAGTCGGGCTCATCAACAGAGCCCGGTCCCCCACTGACTGACATTCCACCGGTCACTTACACTATCTGTTCGCTGGTGCACTTTATTTTTAATTTTTAAACATTTTTTACTTTTTAACTTTAACTTTTATTCCTTTATTTTTAAACTAACCCATAGCCTTATTAGGGATGTGCATTTCCATCACTGAGGACGATGCAAGACACATCTCGATGCACTGCCAACGATCCAATACATTAAAGATACATAAAAGCAGCTACTAATGTCACGGTGTGGTTCTCTTCCTGTTGTATTTTGTAGTTTTCTGCCACTCGTGTCCCCGGGTAACTTCACTTCCTGCCTTGTCCCGTCATCCCCTGTGATCGTCTAATAGTTTCCACCTGTGTCCAATCACCTACTCCTCCCTAGTGTATTTAAGCTGTGTGTCTGTTGTCACTTGTCGCGTCGTTGTCTTTTGCCACGCATGTCCTTGTCTTTTGTCGCGGACGTTCGTAGTGTCTGTCTCCCGTTTTTCCCCTGGTTCCTGTGAGTTTTTGCCCCTTGGCCTTTTGCTTTAACCTTTTTGACAATTAAAGTCCCTTTTGTTTTGAACTCTGCGTCCTACCTCCCCGCAATCCCCTGACAACTAATGCGATACGATACGATTCACCCCTATTGCGATGCAGTGCGATTCGACACGATGCGATTCAACGAGATGCGATGCAAAATAATATAATTCTATGCAATTTAATATGGTACATAATGATTTATAGGTCTCTGACAAAAGATAACGTGTGTGTGTGTGTGTGTGTGTGTGTAAGTAAGTGTTCTCTTAATGTAACTTTTTTTTTTAATTATACCTGGCAGTCACAACAGAATTTGCTTCATTCTAAACATGTGGATCAACTGCCTCACACACTAAATTTATTAAATCACACTCATTTGTCCGATTCTGAGGTTTTTCTTAAGGAATATGAGTTGATCCACATGATCAGGATGAAGCAAACTCTCCATCCGCCATGGTAACGCTCTCCCCTCCAACTCGCGCGAGACTTCACGAGAATCGGCCACTGACAGCAGTGGAGATGAGCGCGCTTAGAAACAGAGAGGAGGCATCTATCTAAATATAAAAGTATTGGTCACAAATCATTGGACAGATTTCTAAATATTAAATGGTGTTCGCCTACACACGGTTCTATATCAATACATCGGATTGGACCGATGCAAAAATGTTCGAAACGATGCACCGCGATTCATCCCACAAGGTATCCGGTGCACACTTTTTTGATCCGGGCCATTGCATTGTGAGCTTTTACGCTGATGCATCGATGCGAACCGGCACAGGCAGGAGTAATAGCAAATAATTAACTTTATATTTATGTTTTGTTGGTAATCAGAGCAAATTAAATTTATGCCAAAAAATGTTAAGACTGGAGAGGAGTTGGTCTGATCCCGAGTGTCTGATGCAGTGTTTTTCAACCAGTGTGCCGCACACTGGTGTGCCGTGAAAAAAAAATCATTTTTTACATACTGTCACTTCATTGGTGAAAAAAAAGAGAGCCAACTTGTGTGTTTGTGTGTGTGTGTGTGTGTGTGTCGTCGCGCTGTTGGTGGTAAGAAGGCTCAATACTCCCCTCTGCCTGTGGGTGGCGGTACGCAGCGTAATTAATAAGCAGATTTGCTGAAGCGACAATTTAAAAAAAGTGAGATTTAAGGCTGGCGCATGCTTCTGCGTTTGCGTCTGCGTCGCTGCGTCGACGCACTCATTTCAATTCATGGTTCTGCGTGTGTTGCAGAGCAATTCACCGCCAGAACAACAGGCAGAGTAACGTGTTTTTGTTGAAGACGACCTAGAGAGTCACGTCTATTTATTTATTTGTTTATTTATTTATCATAGACTTTGCATCCGTGCATCGCCACTGCTGCTTTTCATCACATTTGTCCCGTATTTTCCTCCACAACTTTGTGCACCTCTCAACCAGGGTTTGCGGCGATCTCCCTCCGTGAATCCAACCTACAACCCGCCAATGACGGCTTGTATAAGCGGTCATATTTGCGCATTTCTTCCGACAAAAGTTCTTCAATCTGATCCGTTCTCCCGTAAACATTCTTCGTTTTAATAATGGCGGTATTGTGCTATGAAAACGGAAATGTGAGACTCCGTAAAGGACGTAGTTTGCAGACCAATTGCAGCCTGGTGCGCTGCGGGAGGCTTGCCTAGAAAAAAGTCCCGACACACGTAAGGACGCAAGGAGGTGTGAAAAGCGACGCAAGGGAAAACGCAGACGCATAAACTAGGCTTAAGAGATTTTTTTCTGTGTCTTAAGTGTGCCTTGACGCAAAAAAGGTTGAAAAACACTGGTCTGATGGACACGTGGGATCAGACATCGACCTTATTTGACATGAAGTCAGAGGAGGATTTATAAGCCACTCATTTCCAAACCTTTAAATCTCAACAGGGCTTCATCATAACAGCCAAGACCATAGATAACTTAGAACCGACAGACTTAAGAGGACTACATCAACTGCTGCACTGAGGACAGAAAAGGCTTGACAGCCTTTGCAATGAATCTATTCAACTCAGCTCTCGGGAAAAACATCACTTTTCTGCGTCCTGCTTATTTCGTAATAAGAGGTTTCTCTGGGATACCTAATATCAAGTATTACTATGTCTTCCTCTGTTTTGTTTATACGGTTTCAGTGCTTGGAAATACAGTTGTCATTGCAGTAGTATATTCAGATCATAATTTGAGAACTATATTGCAGTATTTAATTTAGCATTTGTGGACTTGTTAAGTAGCTCTGCTCTGATGTCGAAGCTTCTTGACATCTTTCTGTTTAACCATCGCTACATCTCCTACAACGACTGATTGACTTTCCTTTTTTCAACTACACTTTCCTTTCCATGCAGGTTTTTAATCTGGTTGCACTCTCCTATGACAGATTAATTGCCATCATGCACCCTCTGCACTATCAAGTGAAGGTGACTCACAGGTTCATGCTGTCTGCAATTATTGCTGATCTTGTTGCAATTGGTCTTCTTACCAGACTTTCCTTATGCAGGTCTGTGGTTATTAACAGTTCTTTCTGTGACCAGATATACAGGCTGGCCTGCAATGACCACACACCAAGCTATGTCCTTGCTAAGTTCTTAATAGCTCTATTTTTTATGTTTCCATTGGCATTCATCCTGTTAAGTTATATATGTATTGGTTATGCTTTGTCTAAAGTGGCCACAGCTCAGGAAAGATACAAGGCCTTTAAAACCTGCACAGCTCATCTCTCACTAGTGGCAATCTATCAGGTTCAGGAATACATCCAAATGCCAGAATCATAAACCTTTCTCTGGCCTCTGTTTTTGCCTGCCTGTATTCGCGGGGGCGGCAGTGCCGTGCGCTGTAAAAACACTTTCAGACTTTAATAACGGAGGGAAACACTGACTTAAAGAAATATAATTAGAAGGCAGATCACACTGGGAGCGGGTGATGGACCTTGCGGTCCGGCTTCAGGCCACCTACACTCTCCACGATCGGCCGCAGCGTCATCCCGACCCCGCTCGGTTGCAGCGCACAACGTCCAGCGCTGGGCCGCAGCAACATCCGGAACCTGCTGGGTCGCAGCGCACAACCTCCAGCGCTGCGCCGCAGCAGCTGCACCCCCAAACCGGCTCCCCGATCCAAGCCCTCGACCCCGGTACTGGCCCACTACTCCAGTCCCCGACCCCGGTACCGGCCCCCCGATCCAAGCCCCCGACCCCACTACCGGCCCCCTGATCCAAGCCCCCGACCCCGGTATCGGCCCCCCGATCCAAGCCTCCGAAACCGGTACCGGCCCCACGACTCGAGGCCCCCGCCCCCGGTACCGGCTCCAGGACCCAACCCCACGACCCCGGTACCGGCCCCAACTTTACTGTTTTGGTTCACTGTCATCAATCTTAATTACAGCGACGTTATCATATTATAATGTGCTATTATAAATTGATGTGTCGGGGGCCTGGAGTCGTGGGCCAGTACTGGGGTCGAGGCTTGGAGTCGTGGGGCCAGTACCGGGGTCGGGGGCTTGGGCCCTGGGGCCGGTACCGGCTCCACGATTAAGGCCCCCCCCAATCCCATGGTCCTCTCCCACCCTCCCCTTGGTGATCTGAGGGCCATCTGGGCTTAATAATAAATTGTTAAATAACAACATCCAATTATTGTGTAATGCAATAAGATACAGAAATTTATAATACCACATTGTAATATAATAACGTCACTGTAATTTAGATCGATGACAGTGAACCAAAACAGTAAAGTTGTGGCCGGGCAGCTGAACAATCGTCTCAAACTCTTCAGGTGATGATTATGAGATTCTATGTTGCTCATAGTTATGTTCATCAGCAGGGGCATGGTCATTGACATTGTTAGTTAAGATATCATTACTATAAGGGTATGCTCTAGTGAATTGGAGTTAAGATGGATTCAAACTGTTGTGATGACTAATGATGAGTTGCTCACATACAATAGACACAGGGGGAAATAGCTTCTCTGAGTGGCCACTCCTGTTGGAACAGTTAAGATAAGATAATCCTTTAAAGCTTGACAGAGCTCTGCCTCCAGAGAAAGAGACGCAACGAGGTGCTGGTGCTGAGCTCAGAAGAGGTAACTTTACGATATATACAACTGAGGTGTTGATACGTTTACAATGAACTTATTCAACTCAGCACTCGGGGAAAACATCACGTTTGTGCGTCCTGCATATTTTGTAATAAGTGGTTTATCCGGTATTGAGGGGATGAAACATTACTTTGTCTTTCTCTGTTTTGTTTATATTGTTTCTGTGCTGGGAAACACAACTGTGATGGCAGTAATATACTTGGATCATAATCTGAGAACTCCTAAATATATTGCAGTTTTTAATTTAGCATTTGTGGACTTGTTGGGTAGCTCTACTCTGGTGCCGAAGCTTCTTGACATCTTTCTGTTTAACCATCGCTACATCTCCTACAACAATTGCTTGACTTTCTTTTTTTTCAGCTACACTTTCCTTTGCATGCAGTCATTTAATCTGCTTGCACTCTCCTATGACAGATTAATTGCCATCATCCACCCTCTGCACTATCAAGTGAAGGTGACTCACAGGTTCATGCTGTCTTTGATTGCCTTTTTCTGGGTCTTTGCAAATACTCTTAATTTTGTTGCAGTTGGTCTTCTTACCAGACTTTCCTTCTGCAGGTCTGTGGCTATTAACAGTTATTTCTGTGACCATGGTCAGATATACAGGCTGGCCTGCAATGACAATTTCCCTAACTATGTTATTAGTTGTCTGTTCCCTGTTCTTATTTTTTGGCTTCCATTCATTTTTATTTTGTTAAGTTATCTATATATTGGCTGTACTTTGGCTAAAGTGGCAACTGTTCAGGAAGGTCTGAAAGCTTTTAGAACATGCACAGCTCATCTCTCATTGGTGGCAATATATTTCATTCCAGTGTTAATCACATTTACTCTGATGGAAAAAATCAATCCAAATGCCAGGATCATGAACTTGTCTTTGACTTCTATTCTTCCTCCCACGTTGAACCCAATCATTTATGTCCTGCAGACACAAGAAATCAAAAAATCTGTTAAAAAGTTATTGAAAATCAGAAGAAAATCCAAAATGATAAAGAAATGCACCCCTAACATGACTCATTCGCTGTAAATGTGAAAAATCATTTCTGATGTCGTACACATTTTTTAAAAATGATTATGAATTGTTAGATCGATCATCGAGGTAATCAACACAAATCCACTCGTTCCTCTACAAAGAAATAAAATGTAATAATAGAAGAAATAAAATGTAGATACCTGTAAAAGGTGGTTTAAATTATTTTACTGCTCGTAGTTATGTTATCTGTTTAATGTTTGTTTCTGAAAGGCATTACAGAATAAAAAAAACAGTCTACATTGAAATCATTTATCTGCAATAAAACTAATTTTGTCGTTATTTTGCAAAATGCATCACAATCCTTTCTAGAATGTAATTTTCTACCTATTACTGACTGTATTAAAACATGCTTTCTGATCTGTGTTCTCTGATGTGTTTAACAGTAAGACTGAATTTAAGTATAATGCTTTAAGCTCCAACCAAACATTCAATTATAATGTTTAATTGAAAATATGAAAGGTTAGAATAAAAACAACTTTATCAATACCAGCCCCACCTAATCCGCTTGGGTGTCTGTGTGTATAGTGTGAACTTTTTAACTATGAACAGTATACTTAATGTTTTCCCTCTGTAAGAGCTTGAAGTGGATCTATTAGTTCATTGGAATTTGGGGAATATTAATCACTTAACTTTAGATTCATGCAACATATATTGAAAAGCATTTATGTTGGATTGACTCTCCTTGTTTGTTTCTACAAACACGGCACGAGGCACGAGAGCATATCGTTTATCTTCCGTGTGACAGAAGTTATTATTTTAGTTAACGTGCACAGACATTTTGGGTGGGAGGTGCTCAAACCAAGACAAAAGGCCACCAATCGCAAAAATTCTTCATGTAATAAAATAAATAAACACAATAGGATATTTTTCCTGTCCTTCTGCTTTTGGAGTCTCTCTTCTTGGCATTGAATTCAATTCAACTCATTTTATTTTAAATAGCCCAAAATCGCAAATTACAACTTTGCCTCAGAGTGCTTTACAGTCTGTAAAAATGCGACATCCTCCGTCCCGAAACCCTCACATTGGCACAGAAAAAACTGAAAACCCTTCCATGGAGAAAAAAGGGAAGAAACCTTAGGGAGAACGTCAGAGGAGGGTCCCTCTCTCGGGATGGACAGACTACAATGGATGTCATGTGTACAGAATGAACAATGTAAAAGATGTACAATACATTCAATTCCTATAACAGAAATTATTCAAATAATTGTGAGTCGCCAGCCAGGTGTACGGCAGAACCACTGCAGGGACAACCACCATCAGAACCATCCACCATTTCTGTTGAAACATAAGCAGCCTTACACTAATAACCACAACAACGTCGGTGGTTTGCACAAACACTGTCATAACCTGTGTGTCCGATGCTGCAGCCGTTTGGTGCTCAGCACTCCACGAGCAATAAGAGGAGGAGGGAGGGGCAGGGCTGGTAAGCACGTAAAATAAAGACGAAAAGAATCAAAATCTGCGTCATTCGCGTTAGGACATGGAGTCACGCGTCTGCAGCTTAATGTGGCTGAAAGACAAACAAAACCGCAGCAACAACGCTACACCCTCGGTTTAATACTTGTTGTTTAGTACGGTTGTGGAGTACGTGTCGGCTGGTGAGCGCATGCTCTCCTGTGTACGCGCACGTGCCTGTGTGCGCGCGTTCGTCGGGGCAGTAGTGCGGTGCGCTGCAAAAAAACTTGCAGAATTTAATAATGGAGGGGAAACACTGACTAGCTAGCTACAGCACTAGCTATCTTTTAGCGGCTGCGAGGACGGAGTCATCAGAGTAGTGTAGATAAAGTTCAGGCACCAAAATCAAGCACCAGGTACCGGTCGTACAGTGACTACTTTAATGTGTTATTGTAACCAAAGTCTTTTTTTTTATAGCATGCTGTCACGGAATGACCAGGAGACCGACAGGAGGTAGTAGAATCAAGTTCATTTGTCAATAATCCAATAGAGAGCGAAGAGTTAATGTAGTTTAACCCGAAGTCTAAGTGTTGTGATACCAACAAGACTAGACAAGGAGTGAGTGTGTCAGTAGTTTCTAAAGGTGGTGACTGATGAGGTGTGACAACGTGCAAGTGCGTGTGATTAGTACTGAGGCGATAGTGAACGGCTGAGAGGAGTGGGTGATGGGGAATGTGAATGAGTGGGAGGAGTGAGTGCTGGTGAAGGTGGGACCCTGACGGTACCCCCTCCTCCCAAGGCGGCTCCCGACAGCTGAGAAGTGGGACATGCACGGCGACGAGGTCTGCCCCTACACCTAGGGGCAGGACGATCAGGGTGGTCAGCATGGAACTGGGCAGGGAGATCAGGGTCCCGTATGTTATCACGTGGTTCCCACGACTGCTCCTCTGGACCGTAGTCCTCCCAGTCGACCAGGTTACTCGAGACGCGGACCTCGCCGCCGTGAGTCCAGGATGGTGCGGACTCGATAGGTAGCCTCCTCGTTGACGGGAACGGGAGGAGGAAGTACCATGGTGTCAGGGTCTGTGGGAGGAGGAGAGATCGGGTCAGTGAAGGGTTTCAGAAGCGAGACATGGAATAATGGCGAGATCTTATAGTGAGGGGGAAGGTTTAGCCTGTAGGTGACGTCGTTCAACTGCTTCTGTATTGTGATGTACCGAGGACTCAGCCCACGGCAAGGCAGGCGGATGTCCCGAGTAGAAAGCCACACTTTCTGGCCAGGTTAATACAGCGGGGTTTCGGACCGATGCCGGTCTGTTTGTATCTTGTGCTTGCACACTGCCTGTTGGAGCTGTAGACCAGTAGTTGACGGCTGGCACCTCTGAGGGTTCGCCCGACCAGGGGAAGAGAGGTGGTTGATATTCCAGCATGCTCTGAAACGGTGTGAGTCCCGTATTGGCCTGACAAAGGGAGTTCTGGGCACATTGTGCCCAGGTGGAAGTATGTCCGCAGATGACGTCAGATTTCTTGGATCTTCCGTTCCGTTTGTCCATTAGTCTGAGGATGATATCCTGAAGACAGACTGACTAACCCAGAGGAGCCTGAAGAAAGCTTTCCAAACCCTGGAGATGAACTGCTGTCCTCTATCCGATGTCCTCAGGGATGCCGAAGTTTCGGAACACGTGACTGAAGAGGGCCTCTGCATCCGCTTTGCCATTCTTACTGCCTGGTCGGTAGGTGATGTGGAAGCGAGTGAAGAAGAGGGCCCAGCAAGCTTGGCGGGGGTTTAATCGTTTTGCCTCTCTGATGTACTCCAGATTGCGATGGTCAGTGATCACTTCAAACTTGTGATTGGCTCCCTCCAACCAATGCCTCCATTCTTCGAGGGTCAGTTTTATGGCCAAGAGTTTTCGGTTTCCGATGTCATAGTTCTGTTCCGCCGAGGAAAGCTTCTTTGAGAAGAAGGCACAAGGATGGAGTCGAAGGGGCATCCCCTGCAGCTGAAAAAGCACCGCTACTACCCCAGTGGAGGACGCGTCAACCTCAACAACAAAGGGTAGGTCTGGCCTGGGATGAGTCAGGATGGGAGCGGTCACAAAGGCCTCCTTAAAGTGTGAAAAGGCGGTGATGGCATCCTGATACCGGGACAGGGATTTGGGCTGCCCCACGAGGGCTGAGGTTAGAGGAGCGCTGATGAGACTGTAATGAATGAACCGTCTATAGAAGTTGGCGAATCCCAGAAACCGCTGGAGGTCCTTGACCGTAGATGGAAGAGGCCAGTTTCGGATGGTGTCCACCTTCTTCTGATCCATATGGACTCCGTGTTGGTCAATCACGTATCCCAAGAACTGCACAGAGGGGGTGTGAAACTCTCACTTCTCCTGTTTCAGGTACAGTTTGTTCTCAAGAGTTTCTCCAGAACCAGGCAGAGGTGTCGTCGATGCTCGGATAGGGAGGAAGAGTAGACGGGAATGTCGTGTTACGTCCCGGTAGCTAGGGGTAGACGGACATAAACATAAAACCAGTTGGAATTGGTATTTGTAAAAGAATATTTATTGTTAATTGGGTAGAACTGAACAGAGCTTACAAAAAGAGAATAGGTCCAACGGGTGCTGTGGATCTCAAAAACCGAATACAACCAAAAGAGATCCTCAAAAAGATTATCCTTGTCTAAGAAACAGACAAAAACAGACAAAAAAGTCCTCACTAACTAATTATTTAATAACCGAAGGTACAATACTCACAGCACCCCTGAACCTAATGGGACTAGACAACAAAATTATGTTAAGTGCAACAGGTGGTATCAGTATTTCTGACTCTTGTTCCTAGGCCCGCTTTCTCACCCTCCAACCTGCTCTTCCACAATCTGGTCTGTCAGCCGCCCTCAGCTGCGATCAGACAGGCCTTTTGAGCTGGCGGGACCTGGCGATGGCGATCCTCCGATTGGCCGGGACTGCTGGGCGGGTCTTCTCGATCTTCCAATCATGAGTGGGGGATGTCACAGCCTGCTTTGCATATCTTTAAACTACCCACTTGAGGTTGCCGACGGCAGCCGTAACAGTCGTCTATGTAGACCACTACGAATCGGTTGAGGAACTCCCGTAGGATCTCGTTCATGAATCCCTGGAACACCGCTGGCGCGTTGGATAATCCGAAAGGCATGACCCTGTACTCATAATGTCATGAGGGTATGATGAAGCCTGTCTTCCGTTCATCTCCTCGACGAATGCGGACCAGATTGTATGCGCTGCGTAAATCCAACTTCGTAAAGACACAGGCTCCCCATAGCCGTTCCAGGGCCGCCGGAACCAGCGGAAGGGGATATCTGGACTTAACTGTTTGGGAATTGAGGGATCGGTAGTCAATGCATGGTCTCAAACCCCAGTCTTTCTTGGCCACAAAAAAGAAGCTGGAGGCGGCAGGAGACATGGATGGGCGGATGAACTGCTGCTGAAGAGCCTCCTTCACTTACTCCTCCATGGCTTTCTGTTCAGGTATTGAGAGGGGATAGACACGGCCTATAGGGAAAATGGCTCTGGGTTGCAGGTCGATCGCGCAGTCCCAAGGTCAGTAAGGAGGTAACCTCGTTGCCAATGGTTCGCTGAATACGTCCTCGTAGTCCTTGTATTCCACGAGGAGGGTCACTTAGGATTGGACGTCGGGACTTTTGATGGAAGTGGAACAGACGGCTAGACCTTGGTATCCCTACCAAGGTCTATCCCTAGTGGATGAAGAAGGAAGGGTAGACTGGGGAATCCTCTGAAGCGGTGTGATACACGAATGGGAACAGTCCTCACCTCATCGAAGGATTTCTCCAGTTGTCAGTTGACGGTGGGTTGATGCTGCATTAGCCACGGCCGGCCCAAGATGAGCTCAGCAGTGGAGTCCTCCTGTACCATGAAGGTGATTTCTTCTGAGTGTAAACTGCCTATGCGGAGTGTAAGTGTGGAGGAGAGGTGGCG